TCTTTCTTTTAATTTAGAAATACTAAAATGAGAAATACATATAAAGAACAAAAACATGTTTTCAATGTCATAAATTATAAGATCATGTTAATGACCATAACTAAATGGGATCTCATTATAATATTAAAATGGTTTGAATCTCAATGCAGATATTTACATATTCTTAAATATTTGTATACATTTTAAAACACTTTTTACGCATATATCAATTTATTTTTTTAATATTTAAAAATTTTCTTAATTTATTTTCTTAAGGTAAATATTTTATATTTTAAATATTTATTTATTTATTTTAATGTGCACTATATTTCATACATTTATGTGCAGTAATCTTTAAAAAATATTTTGTAAATATTTAACAAATTATAATTTTTTTATTTTAAATATTTTATTTTAATCGATAAATATTTTTTAAAATATTTTTTTAAAAATATTTAATATTTTTAAGCTTAAAAAAATTCGATCACCATATATATCTAAATCATAACAAATTATTTAGCCAATGCTTAAAAAATAACAAAAAATATTTTTTGAAAAAATAAAAAATATATATTTTTCTGGAAAAATATAATAAACAAAATATTTTTTTCGCAAAAATATAAAATAAAAAAATTTAAAGACAAAATTAAAAATAATTTTTTTGAATTTTTTTTGTAATATAGTTTTGAAAAAAGTTTGGTTATGAGTTTTGAATTATGTATTTAGTTATGAGTTTTGAAAATAATTTTTAAATTGAATTTTGAGTTATGTGTTTAATTATGATTTGTGTGTGGAGTTGTATTTTAAGTTAAAAATATTTTTAAAAATTAAATATTTAGAAAATAAAATAAAATATTTAAATAACAATTTTATATTTAAAATAAAAAAATAAATTTTTCTTAAATATTTTAAAAAAAATCAATCTAAAAAATTTCAAAATATAATTCAAAATTTAAAAAAATTCAAAACTCAAAATACAACTCAAAATTCTGTTCAAAACTTAAAACTCTTTTCAAAATTCAAAACTTTTCTCAAAACTCTTTTCAATCCTCATAACCAAACAAATTTTTTCTTTTAAAACTCAACTCATAACTCTACATTTAAATCACAACTTCACACTCAAATCATAATTTTAAAACTAAACCAAATGCACCCTAATTCTTTTTCAAATTTGTCTAATATCAAAGTAGCTAAAGTTATAGTGAAAGTTATAGTAAGAAAATTAATTGTACTCTTTTAAATAACATTTTTAATTTTTAAATAGACTGGGCACATTTTATAAAATCATTTGTGCTTTTTTAATTTATTTTAGTAAATTGTACATATTATTTATATATTTTAAAGGAAATAATATTGAATGTTTAGGTTGGGATAGAGAAAACTAATAAACTAAATTTTTTATTGTTATATTTTCAAAAAAATAAAAATAAAAACACATATTGATTAACAACTAAATTTGTTTGGGTGGGAAGAGGAAGCAATTAACATATAACTCACAAATTTATATTTAATTTTTTACTTACGAACAGTAAAATGAAAAAAAGATTAAATGTAAATAATATGAATTTTATTGAAAAAATAATATATTATTTTATCCCTGTGCATAGCATGGGTCATATGCTTGACAAATAATACATATTTTTATGCATGTGTGGTGTCATGACCCATTATCCATAAATAATACATATTTTTTGAGATTACTAATTATTGGAGATTGTAAAGATACGAATTATAATTCAAAAAAATATCCAAAAATTGTAAAGTCTACACTACCAATACGATCGTATCAATCCGTCAATCTGCACGGCATGCTCAATCCACATCTACAAAATCGATGGATGGATACAGATTGATTTTTTTTCAATTTGTCTAATTTTAGATGGATGGCATATGGGATGCTACCTGACCTAACCCGATCCATGATCACCACTAATGAAATTTGAATGAAATCTATATAATAAAACAAAATGATTTTTGAAAATGTCTTAGAGATATAATTGGTTAGAATGGTGTGAATTGGCCTAATTAAAGATTGAACAGTTGAGATTGCTTGATTCAAAATAAACTTTCCGCCTAAACAATTGTTAATTTTTATTTTACACAATCTCACATCGAAAATTGTTTCACTTATATAAAGTGAATTTTATACTCACATTTAATATTATAATTCATTTAATCAAGTATAATATAAAAGTTTAAATTTTTTTCAAAAAAAAAAAATCAACAAAAATAATATAGAAAAGCCAATCCCATATTTGGTATAAGAAAATATTGATTCAGTGAATTTAAACTCGCTTGAATTGTTCGAATTACGTAAGTCAAACTTCTAGCTGGATGACCTCCCGAACAACCGTTCGGACGATCGACGTCACTATTGTCAACCGCAGTTGTCATCCTTGACACAATTGTAACCGCAGATGTCACCCTTGTCTACCAGTATGTCAGCCAACATCTGCTTGGATAACCAGCTAGATGACTGCTTAGATAACCGACTGGACGACCGACATGTATAAATTCAGACAATTTAAACGAGCTCAAATTCGATAGATATAACAATATTCTTTGACATAAACATCTCAATTTCGACCTATGCTATTTTAGTGAATTTGCAACCAACCACATGACATAAATAAAACTGAAAAGGCTCTCCAAATTGAAGATATTTTTAAGCATAACCACACCCGTCCACATGAAATGTAAGGTGGACCAACTTCAGATGGGATTTACACTGTATAATAAGAATATAAAGATTATTCTAAGAAAAAATGCTTTGTAGCTCGAAAATGATGAGGCTCAAATGGCCCGATTTCCAGTACAATAGATTTTCTCTCTCCTCTATATCTCTTTTTCTCCAAAAGTATCTCACATTTTGCAAAATCCTCTCATTCTCTCTCTCAAATCCACCCAAAGTCTTCGATGACCCTCACCAACGTGTGGGTTTGATAGTTTTTAGAGAGTGAAAGTAGAAAGAAGAAGAAGAGGAAGTTGATTTTTTTCTTTTTTATGGAGATTCAACACTGTGAATTTGTGGCTTGAATTTTAAAGAGTATGAAAGAAAGTAGAGCTATCTAGAGAGAGAAAGCTCTCCATCGGTTGAGCAATGGTGAGTTTTCTGTGTAATAATGGTGAGATTTAGACTGAATCCATAGATTGAGTGAGAGAGTGATTTATTTTGATTATTCATGTCTGGTGGTTGCTTAGGTTTAGGATTCTGGGTGGACCATCAATGATCATGGTAAAGATCTAGCTTTGACCTCTCCGTTCATGGCAATGGATTGGGTTGTGGTGGTTCAAGTGGTACCTAGTTGCTCTGGCTTGTTATAGAAGTGACCAGTTTGGTAGTCGTTAGTCAAGGCGTGTTGTTTGGGTAAATTAAAAACTACTAAACCCACTTCGATGGCTTCCCATCTTTGGCATCCTCCCTTCCTCCTCTGTTCCTCTCTACTCCTTTCGGTGTCCTCTCTTTCTTTCCTCTATTTACCCTCTTTTTTTTCTTTTTCTTCTCTCATCCTTTTCCTTCTCTCTTTCTCTCGCCTCTCCGTTTGTTAGGGTTTGGTTCTCAAACCAGTTTCAGAAACAAAAGAGAGGGGGAAGGAACAAGAAAAAAAGAAAAGAAAAAAAAAGATGCCAAAACGACGTCGTTTTGACACATTCAAACCATTCGGGGTAGCCCATTTTCGAGCTACCCAGCAGAACTATATTCTAAGTTCGATTTACGCTGACATCAAATTTAATTTAATCATTTCAAATCTGTCTATCTAATTTAGTTATCATTTGGTTAGGACTTTTTTGAGTTGAGACTTTTTTAACTTTGGGATTAAAAAATTTGTTTGGATTGACTTTTTTAATTTTTAAATTTTTTATGAGAGAAAAAAATGAAATAATTATAATTTGAATATAATATTTTATCTTATTAACTTAGCATATCTTGCCTTTTAAATTTAGGGCTGGTTTGGCTTATCCTATATAAGTCAAAAAGTTAAAAAGTTACTCCAAAATCCAAAAATATATCACTATTCACAAAAAAAAAAATTTAAAAAATCAATTTTGTTCAAAATCACTATTCACCGAATTGATGTGTGCGGCAGTGGAGGAAAAAGAAATGATTGGGTGTGGTTTTTACACACACCGTTGTTCGTCCCATGGAGGTCATCACGGGTCCCGTTTTGATAATCTGAACCGTTCAATATGTAGAAATCGTCAAGTACTATATGTCTGCAAAAAATCAAATTGATCGGATATCGATAACTATATGATCAAATCAGTTATGTACAACAAATGGAATGTGTTATAATTAATGATTGAAAAATAAATAAATCTGATCAGATAGCTATCGATATCCGATTAACGTGATTTTTTATAGGTACATAGTGTTCGACGAGTTACACACATTGAACGGTTCAGATTATTAAAATGGGACCCGTGATGACCCCCACGGGCCAAACAAAACCGTCCAGTGCTTTGTACAAAAATTAGCCAATAATTTTCAATCCCAAGCCGGTTGTACGGCTGGGGCCCACCTCTCTCTAATCATCTCTTACACACTTTTTTTATATAATTTTTTAATACACATTTTTCTATAAAAAGTCAAAAAGTTAATCCAAACCTCCATATTTTTTTCTCAATTTTTTTAGTCCAAAAAGATAAAAAGTGCACTTTTTTAAGACACCCCAAACCAGCCCTTATTTAGACAAAAAAAAAACCTACTCAATAGACGTGAATTTTTCTTTTCGAAAGATCATATAGATTATTTTAAAAATTATTTAAATTTAGAACATTAACAAAATTCAATTTTAGCCAATAATTTCCAACCCCAATTCACTCCAGCCGGTTGTACGGCTGGGGCCCACCTCTCTCTAATCATCTCTTACACACTTTTTTTATATAATTTTTTAATACACATTTTTCTATAAAAAGTCAAAAAGTTAATCCAAACCTCCATATTTTTTTCTCAATTTTTTTAGTCCAAAAAGATAAAAAGTGCACTTTTTTAAGACACCCCAAACCAGCCCTTATTTAGACAAAAAAAAAACCTACTCAATAGACGTGAATTTTTCTTTTCGAAAGATCATATAGATTATTTTAAAAGTTATTTAAATTTAGAACATTAACAAAATTCAATGGTAAAAGTAATATATTATTTTAGCAAATATTTTAATTTAAGTCATAGAAAAAATATATAACATTTTCACATGCTTTTTATATATATTTTTCTTTTAATTTTTTAAATATTTTTTCAAATTCATAAATCAACTACAACTTAAACAAATTTTTTTTTGTCAACCTCCAAAAATATCAGAATGAATTGGATGGGCCATGCATGGGGTCAAATCCTTGCATTTATTTACTATCTTCAATTTCAGTTTTGTTTCCACACATTTTTATTTATTAGTCATAAACTATCTTCAATTTCAGTTTTGTTTCCACACATTTTTATTTATTAGTCATAAATAAATTCTTCATAAAATTATACTACATTCTTAACCTCCCTCTCTTTCTCTCTGCTCATAAACATCACACACCATTGCAATAACGCCTACAATCCCTTCTATATCTATAGATCCATTAGAATTTCTCCCTAATTTCCACTCTTCTGGTGATTCTCTCTCTCTCTTTCTCTCCCTCCATTATATGTATCAAAAGTAGCAGATCTAGGGTTCAGAAATACTCAATTTTTTGCGCAAATTTTCTTCTTCTTCATTGTCTTCTCATATCGCATTTTTAATTTAATGTTGGTTATGTTTGCAGTTGAGCTGGTTTGCGCGTTAATTTTGATACATTTCGGAATGAGGTTCGGTTTCTGTGATCAATTATTTGTTTTGCTATGTGTTTTTTTTTTGGTATTGAATTATGCGAATTGATAGTGGATTTGGTATTTTTTATGGTAGATTGTGGGAGAGATATTGAAGAGAGGGCAATTAGATAAGGGTGTGAAGATGAGTGAGGGTAAGCGGTTTCAGCTGGGGACCATTGGTGCTCTGAGCTTGTCTGTGGTTTCGTCCGTGTCGATTGTGATTTGCAACAAGGTGCTTATTAGCACACTTGGTTTCACTTTTGGTGAGTCATAAATCTTTTCAGCATTATAAATAATTTAGTATTAGTATTAGGCTTATGCTTATCTTTTTATTGTATTGTGTGGTTAATTTGGTTGTTGATCTGGTTTTGTTTGTTTTTCACTTTACATTGGCATTCTACACTTTGTGCAGATAGTTCAGTGTTCCAATTACATCCATATTTCTTTTGTGGCACTTCCATGTCCAGTTAAACAAAAATTTGTGGTTATCAATAAATATATTATACTTGTATGAGCATATTTTTATGTTGATCAATAAGGGATGCCACAGACGATTTTGCCCTTACCAATATGAAATTAATTGACAAATAAAGAAACTCATTTAATGTAAGGGGTATTAGTTTCTGTTATGTACAGTGTTGTTAACAAAATTAACAGAAATAAAAACAAAAGAAATAGGGGAGAAAAGACCCACTTCGAGGGAAAAGACCTCCAACCTGACCTTCTGTTCTTCACAATTGAAGAGTTCTGATAATATTTTTCCTCCGTTCTTTCATTAATAGATATGCTTTATACACAAGGAAACTATAATGCACTAAACCCATGATTGTATAATGTAGGATAACTACCCACTAGTCCACTTTCCCATGACCCCATGACCCCTACCACTAACTACAATAAAATAAAATAAAAAATATTTTTAATAAAATAACATAGGTTTTTGTTGTAAAAAGTTAAAAAAATCTGATGTACGCGTGAAACAGAGGGGACAATTAGCAATTGTGGTCAAGCAGGAGAATTTATGACTAAGGAATAAGGACACACCCAACCTCATGTGGCTGATGATACGAAGACTAGTCTAATTTAGGAGTTTACATTTGAACGTTGATTATACTAGTGAATGCTCTGTTGAGGAGTTAAAAGAGCTTGCTTCCATCATGTGTTTACTTGGTAATGTTTGGTCAAAAGATATTTAATGCTCCTAATTAATATGGAGTCTCACTGAAACTAAGCCTCCAGCTCATCTTTGTTTCCATAAATGAGCTTCAGTAGTTGTTCTCCTTGCATGAGACCATGAGCTTGTTTAGTCTCAAATAGAGTATTTTCAGCATGATATTGATCTTTACAACCTTGAGATACTGCCCTCTCTCTCTCTCTCAATCATATAAGGGGCATTTCATTTTACATTCAACTTCTCTACTACTCCAGCATACAACAATTTTATAGCAATAGAATATCACATTATAGGGGAGATACTGTCAGTGGGGGAATAGTAGATAATTCTCTGTTCACCCACTTCTCTTTTTATAATGGTAGTGCGTCTGTCATGTTGAATTTTACCACTGGCAACATATTGGTGTTTTCTATCATTGTAAACGGGTAGATCCCTTCATTTAATATCATCAGGCATTGAGATAGGAGGGAGAGGGCAACTAACTACCCAATTCCCATCGATGTAGTTGATTTGGTTACCTTCTTTTACACCATGTGGAAAAAATATGATATTTGCTTTCCTCAGGTCCAGTCAACTGAGGCTGCTTATCTAAGGTTATACACATGCAAATTTAATGCTATTTTTTATTCATCCAAACATATACGTTATGTTGTCTTATTATCGACCGGATTGATGATTAGCGCAACTCCCAATAGTGTAGACAAGAGGTGTCCTTGTGATTATACTGTGTACAGTATGTATCTTTATTTATGTTTAACAATTTCTTGAACACAAATTACCATAAAAATATTTTTTTGGCGGGAAAATAAATAATATTACCATAAAAACATAAAAGAAAAAATAACATTACCATAAATTTTTTTTTTGACAAAAATGCATGAAACACTTGATACTGTATCATCTAGGGAAAACGAGGTGGACTCTTTATAAGTGATCAAGCTATAGCCAAGTTTGACTGAAGAGGGATGTCATATCCCCAAGTCCTATGTCTTGTAGGTTTAATGTTGACTCACCACTAGCCAATGAAGATTAGACTATTGGTAAATACTATTTTTAAAGGGAAATGATATTCACACTTATGAATATCATTGTCTTTTCGGAATCTAAAAATATTATTAATCAAGGATTTCATTGCATATATGTAGGAACTTTATGTCAATCTAATTTCATCAATGCTTTGTGAAAGCAGAAAGCCTATCAAATTCGCTACCATCCTTAATTATATTTCCCTGTCACCACCCCAATATATGGTTTACATTACACAAGTCAAGGATTTAATGATATTTCTAGCATTTACTTTTGAAGGGTTTTAGCATATTGTGGGCCAATTGTGTGGGACCCCCAGTAACCCTACATCCCTGTCACACAGCATGTGCATTCATATGAAATATATCTTGTGATGTTTGCTAATAGAAATAATATAATAACAAAGTCATGAATCTTAATAGTTTTAGTATAAGCTAGCAAATAAGGAAAGATTTGACAAATTAAATTGGCATATGTCGTACCCATCCAATAGGTTATAGGGTAAGGAAAGGGAATCCTGCAATAGCCACCATGCCATCTTAAAATGGTTATTGAGCATGTGGAATCTTTTGGATCTGTTTTAAAGAAAATTCTGATGGATTCTTGGTTCAAATTGCAGTGGGTGAGTTGAAATGGTTAATCACTTAATTAAATGGTTACTTCACCACTGATTAAAAGTAAAATATAAATATGGATTCAAACCATATTTCACTATTTCGATGTGGGAAAACTTGAAAGCATTGAATGCCGTAATTTTCTAGTTTTTTCTTTTTTCTGTTTTTTTTTTTAATATTTTTATTGGCAACAACGAAAATTTCATTAAAAAGAAAAAGGATCATGTACAACAAGAGAAGGGGACAGGAGGTCCGCCAAGAAAAATAATAAACAGAGAGGAAGACACATGCTCACATTCTACAAATGATTCTCCAATCCCTAGAAAAAAAAAATTAAAAAAGAGGAACCCCTTTAAGGGAGGAGCCACTGACACCCAAAAAGATGCCAAAAAACAGATCCTCTCCAAAATGCATTAAAGATTGTCTTCCCTAGCTTCAAAATTTCTAGCCATAAAATCTATAGAATTGCACAAACCACACATTTCCAAAGAGCCTGTGCCTTTGTTTGAATGAAAAACTCTAAAGTCAATGCATAGCAAATGCTTACAAGAGGATGGAACAACCCAATCAACCTCCGCCAAATACAAAACTCTCCACCATAAAGAAAGATCTAGATTTTCATCTAGAGAGATTACATTTTGTAAGGGATGATTTCCTTTAAATAGCATTATGAAACCTCATAGTGCCTTTGATTATCCAAAATCATTGATAGATTATACTTTGGATTTAGGAAATCAGCCAATTCATTTGAGGTAATTGCTTCCAGACTTTTTTTAATCCTACAATACAACCTTTTAGATTACAGAGGTCATTCCATCAGGACCCAATTTCTGATGATTTGTTGACATGGGCATGAATCTTTCATTATAACTTCCTTCTTTGATGCTTCAGCTTCAACTTTGACAAGCTGGCATCTTCTGGTCACATTTTGTTCCCTCCATGTGGCTTTATGGATGAAATTATTTGAGCACAAGCCTTTTGATCCAAGAGCCGTGATGGCATTTGGCATCCTGAATGGGAGTTCCATTGGACTTCTGAATCTTAGCTTGGGCTTCAACTCTGTTGGTTTTTACCAGGTAAAGTTATCACTTGAAATTTTGTTTTTATTGTTGTACTCATTGATTATTAGATGGTGTTATAACCTGAATTTTTGCTGGACAACAATTACTGTTTTAATGTCTTTTTGGATTTCATAGCATTGGTGACTATATTTGCTATACAGAAACTATTTTTACTACTAGATTTGAGAAAGGCATAACATGTGCTAGATGTTATTCTGAATCACATGAACTATTCTGTGTTGTTTGAATGGTTACTGCTGATAGTGAAAGATCATTGATGTTAGGCTAATCATCTAGTTGAGATTTTGCAGTTCAGGATTACAACAAAAAATCAAATCATGCATAAAAGCTGTCTTGGATACGTTGCCATTAGATCTTTTTCTGTTCGGATTGTATTCGGTCATGTTCAATTTCATATCCTTCAAGCCTGTGGTTCATCTGTTAAAATTTCTATTTGAAGTGTTAGTTTCTGAAACTCTCTTGGTTTTTTATTTTAGATGACAAAACTGGCAATTATCCCCTGTACAGTTCTCTTGGAGACCATTTTCTACAGGAAGAAATTCAGGTAAGTTTTAGTTACACTCTCCCTAAATATGTCACTATGCTTCTTTTTTCCAGTTTCTTTTGTTCTTAAAGAAGAATTCTGTCTATATAAGCGAAGCACTGTGTATCCTTGAGTTTGGAAACTGTTTCTTATTTGTTGGTCCCAAGTGACAATAATGCTTGCAACTGTGAAGGGCTTCCATCGAATAAGCTGTGTCTATCTTTGCAACTAATGAGGATCCTATCCATTTTTTTTTGTAACTTCTCCATATTAGCCTGCATTCTATAAAATGCCTGTTCCGATGTAATCTAAAACTAGTAACAGGAAGTGCTACTTTTGACTTATTTATACTAGTGCTTCAGATCAAGTTCCTGTTCATAGTGAATTTGAGAACTGGAATTGAAATGAAGGACAAGGGGTGAACAAAGATGTTTCAGCTTGATTGCATTGACCACTAAAAGTGCTAGCACAAGGAAAATGGTAATTAATTATCTTCAGTTATTCCTACAAGCTGCTAAATGAGTGACGGAATGAGATTACTATAATGTAAGAACATAAAGGAGAAATTATTTCTGGAAACCTTTAGGTGAAGGCCTTTAGATACACAAAAGCATGCATTTAGCAGCTTCTTTGGCGATGAAAAGATTCCTTTCACCCCTCCCCACAAAAAGCCACAAATATAATTGTAGGGAGTTTCTCAGTTCCAAGCCAGCACATCAATCGTGAGCTTGTCATGCTTTCTTGGTGAGGAGAGATGGTTCTGTTAATATTCATGTGTCGTCAATACTCCGAATTTTGAATATCTTCAGTTATGATCTCCCATGGTTCTTGATTTTATTGGTCACTCATGCATGGGCCAGCTAGAGAACTCTAGACCTTTCATTTCAGTACTTTTTTTTTTTCTCACTTACCTATCAACTCTATGTGAACCAACAATTTTTGTGCCTTTTAGTTAAACCTGCAATTCTTTGTTTGGGCTTTATATTAGTCTGTTGGATTTCATTCAGAAGTACAATATAAATTACAATTTTAAATTTGTAATTTTGATTTTTTTTGGGGCCTTTCCTTGGTCATAAATTTGTACATTCAATTACAAGTTTGTGTTCTAATACTTTGTTAACAATGATGCACAGTCAGAATGTCCAGTTTTCACTTGTCATCCTTCTTGTGGGTGTTGGGATTGCAACTGTGACTGATCTGCAGCTAAATCTCCTGGGATGTGTCTTGTCTCTGCTTGCAATTGTTACAACTTGTGTTGCTCAGATTGTATCCTGAACTGCCTTTATTATGTCTTGTGCATGTTTTCTTTTTTTGCATGTGTCCTGTTAAATTAAAGCAAATTTAAATTGATCTTAAAAAATAGCAAAAAGCTTGCTTTCCATTTTGCTTGGAGGGCAACTATGCAAAAATTGGTGAGGTATTGCAGTACCATGTTGTTCTCGTTATTAAAATCTCTCTTCTTGTTTTGAGACCTTATCAGTTACTTCTAGATGACCAATACTATTCAGAAAAAGTTCAAAGTTTCTTCAACCCAACTCTTGTATCAATCTTGCCCCTATCAGGCAATCACTTTATTCATCACTGGCCCATTTGTTGACGGACTTTTGACAAATCAGAATGTCTTTGCTTTCAAATATACCCCACAAGTGCTGGTGAGAATTGAACGACTGATACCCCACACACCCTCATCAGTTATTGTCTAAACTGCTATTTACTCTCATTCTGTCTCTGATTGCAGGCGGTCATAGTTCTGTCCTGCCTTATATCAGTCTCTGTGAACTTCAGTACCTTTCTTGTAATAGGAAAGACATCTCCAGTTACCTACCAGGTCCTAGGGCATCTTAAAACATGCCTAGTTTTGGCCTTTGGCTATTGTCTGCTCCATGACCCATTTAGCTGGCGAAACATTCTAGGAATTCTCATTGCCATCGTTGGGATGGTACTCTATTCTTATTGTTGTTCTCTTGAGAGCCAACAAAAGGCCAGTGAAACATCATCACAACTGTCTCAGGTACTTCACATTCTTTCCTTTTCTCCCTAAATGTATTTTCATAACTCATTTACTGATTAGGTTAATTTCACTTTTACCCCCTGAACTATACCTACGTTTTTTTTTTAAATTTTTTTAATTTCATCCTTAAACTATTAATTTTATTTATTTAGTCCTTAAAGTTTATAATTCCCGTAAATTTGGTCCAATTGGAGATGGTTGTCCAAATCAATAACTGTTAAAGCCTAATTTGATAGGCAAAAAGATCATTTCAAAATTTGAATTTAAACCATACAACCAAACACTCAATTTTCTTATGAACTGTCTTAAAATGAGGGGTAGATAAGAAGATGGGTGTTTGGTTGTAGGGTGTAAGTTATCTAATGTAGTGTTAATAAGAAGATGGATGTTCGGTTATGATTTAGGTTGTTTGAATTGTAAAATCATGTTCTTGCCCATTAGTTTAGGTTTCCGCCATTACTGATTTGAAAAGACTTGTCTCCAACTGGACGAAGTGAGCTGAAATTAGAATCTTTTGGGACTAAGAAGTAGATGAACTTGATAGTTTAGGAATGAAATAGGAAAAATAACATGGTTTAGGAAATAAAAGTGAAATTAACCCATTTTATATAATTATCACTGCTAAATGGCATAGAGGTGTATCTTTTCCCCTAGCATCTCTCTCTTTAAATTCATATTCACTTTTGCGTTTTTTAATCATTCAAGGCCAAGGAAAGTGAATCTGATCCTCTTATAAGCGTGGAAAATGGAGGTAGCATTTTAACCGATGGTATTGCTCAAAAAGCCCCCACGTGGAATTCAAATAAGGACCTGCAAGCATGAAGCTTCCTCAAATAAAATATATTTCACTCTAGTTCAAAATTGATACACAGAAAATGTGCCACAGCGATGAAATTGTCACTTCTAGGATCTCCACGTATTGAATAGCTTGGGGTTGGTCTTTTTTGAGGAGTTGACAAATTATGTTCTAGTAGTAACCTGAGTTAAAAGGAAATGTCATATGTTGCAGCAGTTTTGGTTATTAGAGTTTTGTAAGAGAGTTGGGTATGCAATAGAATGGGTATATTGCCAATGGGCTATTTGTTCTCAAATACATATAATGACTATCCCCTTTAACCACTCCTTTTGTCGATATTGTTTTGTTTCTGTGAAGAAAATGAAGATATGCAGTCTTGATCATGAAGATCAAGTTCCATCCATTTTTATCAGAAATTGTTCCATCTAGATATATCTTTCATAGATGTAAATGGACTTGGCTTGCAGCATTCTTCTGTGCAACCAAATAGTCCTGCCGCTTTATTCCAATTCACTCACAATCATTGGATCATATGAAAATCTCAAGACATATCTAATGATTGTGAGTGAATTGGGACAGAGAGACAGAATTGTTTGGAGACAGAGGATCCTTGCACCATTCCTCTCTCTCTCATTGGTTTGATGGCTAAGAGTAAGGGATCTGAGATGTCTGACTTGTCTAGGTAGAGGCGTGCGTGTCTTCATATCAACTTTCCAATCCAAAGAGAGAATAATCTTATCTATAAGTAGTCAACTAACCTCCTTCAACAAGTACACCATTCCTCAATTCTAACAAACTGACATCACCATTCTATTGCCCCAACTATCATTTTATAAAATCTCAGCATGGGGCAGAGGAGGTTCGGAACCCTTATCGCTTCATGTTCACGTGGATATCCACGAAGGATACTTAAGGATGGTCAGAAGCAATCAATCAAAGTGATTCTTTTCCTTACTGATTCTTTTCCTTGCTAATTTTGATTTCCATCAGCTTTTTCATTTGATGGGACTTAAGGCTTTGGTTTGATTTGGTTTAGAATCGGTCATATTTGGTCTATTTTTAACAAGAATTGGTCGGTGTAATTTTTTAGTTTGATTTTTTCGGTTGTCTATTCAATATTAGTTCTAGCATTTTATGTATTGTATTAAATTAAAACCGATCGCTTCAATATATATTGTATTTATAATATATATATATACATATAATTTACTAATATAATAATATTAACAAGTAAATAAATTATAAATTTGGCTTATCTCAAGTTGGTCATCTTAACTTGAGAGTGTGTTTGGAGTTGGTAGGCTCATATTGGGATCGATTTCGATGATTCAAACAAATTTTGTTGTCCATTTTTTAAAAATAAATATGGTTCAAACATATAATTATTGATGTCTAACAATCTCAAATTTTTGCCTAAATATTTTCTTTAATGAGTCTTAAAAAGTGATTGATTCGGATCATCGAAATTGATCCTAAAATAGGCGTACCAAGTCCAAATCTCTCAAGTTGGTCATCTCAATTTGTGAGTGTTTGAGCTTGATCGATTTCGGTGATCCAAACCATTCACTTGTTAGAACTCGTTATTAGAACTCGTTAAGTAGAATATTCATGTAAAAAACCGAAATGATTGGATATCGATAATTATATATTTAAATTAGATTTATATTACAAAAAATAAATAATTATTTTTAAAATTATATTTATCATTTATTTTTTAACAATAAATATGATGCAACCAAACACTCTACCTTGTTGATTTTTATTTTTATTTTTTATATATTTTTAACAAATGTAACATGCCCAATGGTTAAAAAAATAAACTGGCTCGAAGGGTTGCACAATAGTGGATTGTGATGAAGACCAACCGCAACAATCTCATCAATCTCTTGTGTTTCACTTATTTTACAACAAATAAGCACACTTTTTCATGTTTTTGTTTTGTGTGTTTAAATTTTTTTTGAAAACAAAACAGGACAGATGAGTTCTATGTTTAAAAAGTGCACCATTTGACAGAGAAACATAAGAGGTTGTTTGGGTAACCTACAAAAGTCGTTCAATTAATATTATTTGGTTGTGAACCTAGTAGTGCTTTTGAAGTTTAAAAGCAATTACTCAACAAATAAATGAAAAAAGACAAGGTGGCTAGCTCGGCCTCCCAGAGAAATTCTAGAAAATGACTTAAAAAGGTAGATTAAAAATATATATTTGAAATTGTTATTGTGAGTTCATAGCATGAATGAATTTTGACTATTGATAAAAAAATTATGGGTAATGTATACCAGAAAATGACTTAGAAAGATAGATCAAAGGTATATATTTGAAGTTGTTATTGTGAATTCATAGTATGAATGAATCTTCGCCATTGATTGAAAATTATGAGTAATGTTTTGGTTTTTTTTTTTAGACCAACTGCCACCTCCAAAGAAGGAACAAACATTGAGTGCAATTGTAATATCATTTTATTTGGTATCACTACTCTAACAAAGAAAGAAAAGAAAAAGAATAATAAATGAGATTACATGGATACCCTTTGTCTCTCATTAATTCAGTCATATAATCTCTAATTTTGTAATGTGAAATTTCTCATTAATATATCATTATACTTAATATTTAAGTGCAGATATATGAGAACATGTAGTGCTGTTATGCTATGTGGGCAGGGGCGGACCTGTAGTGGGACTTGGGGGTGCCATGGCCACCCCCAGGTTTTGAAAAATTACACTACCACCTTTGCATTTATTAGTATTTGTAAAATGTATCATTGGATTGCCTCTTAATTTTTTAAAAATCATTTTATTAATTCTATATTTCATTAATTTTTCACAGTATATAATGAATTGATTTCTTACTATTTCATATGCTACTTAGCATTAATAAGATCTACACAAATTTATTTATAGAATAGGTGTATGTCACTTCTTTTTATTTATTAGATATTGTCAACTAATAAAATGATTTCATTAATATTTCATGACTTTAACATCTCTAAAAAGTGTGAATCATATTTAATGCACAAAATTTAGTATTTTATTTTCAAAAATATTAGAGGTCCAAATTTGTCTACCCAAATTTTGTATCCCTAATATTATTTTTTTTATGGAGCCCACCTTTCACTTTGCAAAAAAAAGATATCACTTTATAGTTGAACCAACCTAATAAAATAATCATATACCGAAAAAAAAAGAAAGGAAAAAGAAAAAAGAAAACCACGTTACTTTCTATACCATGCGCTGTGGTTTTGTCCGGCTGTAACACGTAGAAAATCCTCACGACTTTCCAATTAGACCAGCTGAGAATCAAACCCGGGTTCGTGTCCACAGCTACTTCCTTATTTACCACAAAACCAAAGGTGTTAGCTGCAAATAATTCCTCACTTTTTAATATTTTCTTAATTAAGCTCGTATTCCCCCCCCCCCTCCCAAGGTTTCTCTCTCTCTCACCTCTTCAAAATTTCTCTCACCTCTTCAATTTGGTTTGAATAAAATAATTGGCAAAAAAAAAAAAAACTCAAAGCTGTCCGATTCAAACCAAATAGTTTGGTTTACTTTTCTTAATCTACTATTCAATCAGGAATTTTTTAATTACCGATTCGGTTTTTGGATTCGAATTAGACCATTTGAAAAAATACATATATATATATAATTTGTACGGGGAGTAAATATTCGTCACTGTTCATACTCCTTGTGTCCAAACTTTGCTTCACTTTGAATAATCTGAGAGCACAACGACAGTGAGCTGCTCGGCCGGTGTGATGCCAGAGAGCCCCTCCGATGATCAAGTTAGCACCATTTTAGAGAGAGAAAGAGAGAGAAGACAAAAGAGAGATAGAGCTCTGGGTAGCCATAAATTCAGACCTATTGTATGGAGGCGCCGCTCAATCTATATAGCCTCTATGCGCGCTATTTTACTCGTTTTTTCCTGGACACGTGGCTGTACTGCCCTCTCTATTCTTTACACGTGTACCCGTTAATACTGCCAAACAACATTGGCCAAACTGTCAAACGGTATTCACGCACACGATTGGCGGGTTTCTCTTTTCACACTCCAATTGGACCACCTGGCAATTTCCATTGAGCTGGGCATAGCTAGGTCAGTTTCAGCCTCAATTTCGGCCGACCTTTAGGGTGAAGCTTAATAACTAGCTCAGGGCGGGTTTCTCTTTTCACACTCCAATTGGACCACCTGGCAATTTCTACTGAGCTGGGCATAGCCCAATCAGTTCCAGCCTCAATTTCGGCCGACCTTTAGGGTGGAGCTCAATAACTAGCTCAGTTTGTTCAACTCCTTGGACCATCGCTTCACCTAGCTCGGCTTAGCCCGGTCTAACTTCCGGACCTTGGGCTAACTTAGGCGCATGATCTAAAACCTTGGCTAAACTGCTCTCGGCTATGCCAACTCGATCGCGTAATCCAACGGCAAGGCCCAAGTCACAACTAATTTGGCCTGTTTGTTTGGCACAAACTCCCCTCTCATAATTTATTGAAAAAATTTATGAGATATGTTATGATATTTATGATCTTTGGTTATGACCTATTATTGTATTAGTTATGACTTATTGTAATATTTGTTATGCTATTATTTTTGTTATGACCCAAGAGCTCTTTGATTATACTTTATATGGTTTTTGGTTATAATTTGACTCATTTTTTATTTTTTAGTTAGGACTCCTATATGATTGAGTTATGACATTTATGCTAATCAAACTTACAACTGTCATAATTTGCATGTGGTACATACACTTTTGAGTGTGTACCATAGCATTACCCAAAACTGTGATGACTATTGTATGAATGATGATAAAGTTATCAAAAACTATAGTTTCAAAATGAACTGAATCATCTTTTATTAGTTCAATTTGATTTAGTTCCAAAATTTTCATGATTTGGTTTAGTTCCTGAGAGGGTGATTTATGATAAGGAGTTGGGCCGAGGTAACGGCCGAGCAGATTGAGAGCCCAACGGTGCATGGGGCCGAGATGATTGACCATCCGCCAAGAAGTGGGCTGCCAAAACTTGGGCCGGGCAGAACTTGGGCCAAGTGTGAGCCGCCCCGGCCCAAGAAGGAGCTCGGCTAGATAGCGCTTGGTTGGACCGAGCTGCCTGATCAGGGGATGGCTGAAGCCAGACAAGCTGAGTGACCGGCGCCCGGAAAGGCGTGGTCAACCGAGGAGACTGTTTGACCGGCAGGAAGGCCGACCAAAGGAGGTACCCGGGCTAGGTTCTGCCGGGATGCCGCCTAGCCCGGTCCTCCATGTGTTTATCCGGTTAGGCGCTTGGGTATGAAGCATGGCATGGCCGTGGTAGAGCAGCTCGGCTGCCGAGCTCCAGCTGTGAAGTCAGGCAGCTGAGATTAGGTGATGATCGGCAAGGTTTACGCTGACAGTTGGGATAGCAGAGCCACGTG